GTCTGCGCCCGCGTCGGTTTCCCTCTCTCGGGCGTCCGGGGCTGGCAGCAGCTCGGACACTCCCCTTCCAGGCTCCTCCCGCGCCTCCTTCCCGGGCCCTGGCGCTGATGTCACGGCGCCGCCTCAGCCAATGGCGGGGGGACGCCCGCCCGGCCGCTCGGCCTCCTCGGTTCAAATCTGCAAGCCTGGGACGGAGCTGCCAGTGGGCGGCCCGGCCCGGGAGGCCGGCCGGGACTCGGGCGTCGTCAGGGCGTCCCCGCCTCGCTGCCCGCGGATCTCGACCTCCCTCTCGGGTTGGGGCTCGACTCCCCGCCGAGGGCCCTGCACGAGGCCGCTGGAGACTTACCCCGCCTAGCACAGACCAGCAACGCCACTCCCGCCCCGGGACGCAGGGTGCAGATTGCACCCCATTGCTCCCCGAGACGCCAGCGGGAGGGCCGCCCCGGTGTCGGCTGGGTGACCGGTCTCCCCACGTCCGGCTTTCCCAACAGCCTGTGCGCCCGGCCTCCTGGCTGTCCACTCGGCTGAGTTCTGTTCCAAATGAACTCGGCAGACCAAAAACGCCTGAGGTCCAGCGCCGGAGTCCTACTGAGACGCAGCCTCCGGCTTCTTCTTTTTTTTTGCAGAATAGCTCTCACTTGTAAACTGTCGTTACTAATAAATGCCAGGGACACGGGTGATTTGGTGATGGGAAACCCGCGGGGATTACAATCGAGATGGGGAAAAAAATGTATAAAATGATGTAAAAATAAACTTTTGTAATTATAAAAAAAAAAAATGCAGGGGAGAACAACTGGGCCCAAGCGACATGCAGCAGGAACTTTCCCTTGCTTGCTGGGGGCAGGGGGCAGCCGACCCAGGCTTTCTCACCAAGGTCACCTTCTGTGAGACCCCCTCAATGGGTTCCTGGGGAGGTGATTTCCTCTCTTCACAGTCAAGCTGTAAGAAAGCTTCTCCAGCTCTGGCTCCCTGAATTCCTGAAATCTTACCTGCTCAAGAAAACGCCTGATTCTGGGAGGCAACCCTGTGCTTTCCTACATGTTTAACAAACTGTTTTGTCTTTCAGGGCTCTGTTAGTAGTTCATGCTTATACAGGTGGCTGGGGTCTGGTCTTCAGTTTGATGACCTATCAAATCAGCTGTTCTCGCGAGGGACAGTCTTTCTGTCCTTTGTCCTTCTGCTTCCATCCAAATCCAGAGCTGTGCGTTTGCAGCTCCTTCTAAAAGCATTTCATGTTCTCTGAGATTGCCTTTGGGACAAAGATGAATCAAGTCAAACTCCTGCCCTCTCTGGATGCCCACAGCAGCTCGCTGCCCACGCGAGGAACTCAGGAGCTGCCCTGGAAAGTGGTCTCCAGCATCCCTACCTCTCTGGCAAGGGGCTTGATTAAAGGGGGTGCCCATCTCCCTGGCGACTGGAATCCCCGACCTGGGCTCTGGAGTGGCCTGACCTCCTACGTATCCCTGGGGTTGTTTATTCTAGCCTTTCACATTAGAGCTGCCCATTGATAACCAGAAGAAATTAACAGCATAAAAAACATGAAGCTTGAATACCCACCCTGAAATTTTTGGCAAGCTCTAAGCCCCCGACTTTGGAGAGGGATTTGAGGTCTTAACTGCACCTTGGTGTAACTTGACCTCTAAGCCCTTAGGCCTGGGCGTGTGTCTCTGCCTGTCCTGGCTGCCAGCCCGCCCTTGGGACTTGGACTGCTGTGATCCTGACAGCTGCCTGGGCCTGCTCCCTCCTCCAGGTGCCACCCACCACAGCTGGCGTTTGATAACGTGGGGTTCCAGGCATTTTAGCTCACCTGGTTTGGCCCCAGCCCTGTGCAGCTCCTGGTTGTTCCTGCTTAACCTCTAGAGAAACCGGAGGTCCCACACTTGTTGGAAACTACCACACAGCTTTCAAAAAACAGCTGATCACCAAGGCTCCTTCCTACCAAATGCTCTTATGACTTCTGTCTAGCCTGAGTTCCACCCCCAGCTTCCCCCTACCGAAGTTAGAAGAGATGGCCAGATGTCAGCCTTGGTGACCTGAAGCCTGCCTGCCCCAGGCTGTTTCCTTCCACCCAATGGGTCAGAAACTCTTCCTCCTCCAGCGTCCTCTGGGAATCACCTGGAGCCCTCTGTGTTCTGAACAACCTCTGCTGCCTGGACAATCTCTGCTGCCCGGACAATCTCTGCTGCCCGACCTGGGAAAATCCCCAGGATACCAGGCTGCTGGTAGAAAGCCTGGGGCCCAGGGAAAGGCCCTCTACCACTGCGGACAAGTCTACTGGGGGCTTTTTGCCCCAGGCTCCAGGCACATGAGTCCCCCCCCCCAGCCCCCCTTTCTGGGCAATTACCTATCAGCACTCTGGGGAAAGAATGCCTAGGGTCCAAAACGACAAAGCATCAATGGGCTCCTTGGGGGACAGCATATTGTTCACTTGGGGTTTGAATCTCCACTGTGGGTTGGTACACAGGACACTGGCCGGATGACAGAGTGGGGTCCAGCGTCCCTCCCCTCCCCACCCTCCACCCCCCGCCCCATCTGTCTGTAGCTGCCAATCCTGGCTGGGCCACCACATGGCCATGCATCCTCCCAGAACGGCCGCTTCCCTCACTCAGTGGCGAGGGAACCCCTGTGCCTCAGAGCACCCCTGGCCAGGAGGGAGGGAAGCTGGTCACCAAGCTGGGGACAGGAGGTAGCGGGGGTGTTGGGCTGGGCCCAGAGAAAGGGCAGACGTGGGTCAAGACGTGGCCGTACACAAGAGAGGCCACCGGAAACGCGTCCAGATGTGGGATCAGAACATGTGGGTTATGCTTATTCTACTGCGTCACGTCCATACAGAGGGCCTGGTGACTGTCAGGCTGGGCCGCAGGGCTATCAGGCGATAGAAGGAGATAAAGCTGCGGCCTTTCGTGAACCGTCTAGTCCACGGCAAGCGGCCGGTAGCTATGACTATTGCTGCTGCGTCAGACTTTAGGCTTCTGGGAGCTGTGGCCCCTCCACCCCTCTGCCGGGAAAGAAGAGGTGACGCAGCCCCAGGC